AGAGTTTCAGGATGCAGCTGCAAGGGCGCGATTGGGGCCTACTTGCCAGTGAAGATTGAAACCCTAGAGGCTACACCCTCAAACTTCACCCCTGCTTTTGGCCAATGGAAATCGGTCACTCTGCTTACATGTGCATGCAAGACCTGGCTTCAGTGTTCACTGTGCCAGAAAGCATACATGTATGACTATGACCCGTAACCTCCAAAGAAACACAAATCCAGACCCCTCATCAGACCCCACGAAGACGACGGAGGTTTCTTCTAAGTCGAAAGGTTGACTGTGAAGTTTGTTTGGCTTCATGGTTGAGGGAGACGAAGTTTAGGATTTAGGGAGGCGAGGTTTGGGCTGCGGCTAGACATGGTGTTCAAAAAATAAAGGCATTATACAGTTTAGGGGGGGGTCGTTTCAAACAAAGTGACATTAGCGACTTGGGAGACGTGGTGCGGCAAAGTGCATCTACATTGTTTAGGGATCTACAACTCAGATGCCAGCACGTGCACATGAGCAAAACTGATGAAACCTCAGAGCCTTCCATGTTGGACATTCAACTGTGACTTTTGAAGACTAGTTAGCGCGCAGATGGTTGTCACCGACGTCGGTGCCCTTGAATGCTCAGCAATTAGAGGCAGAATGCTCAGCAATTAGAGGCACAATGGACAGCCCGCCGGCTACAAGCTCTAAACTATGTTTTGTCTCATTTCCGGGGCCCCAACTTCGGATACTGGTCGGCAGCAGCCTCACAATGTGAATGCTTGTGTCCCACATGCAGGCAGCTCACTTGCAGCCGTCGATCGCGATGAGGAGCATCACTTGGGCTGAAGATGTTAGATTGCGACGGTTCAAATTTATTTTAACCACTTGGATTGTTTTTTGTTTCGGCACTGCTAATGATGAGACAGGGCTGCTGGTATTCGCACTGATTACTGTTGCCCTTCGTTTTGGCTTATCGTGACGGGGTTCAGGTAGACACAGTGACGGTATGGAAATCTGCGGATGTATCAGTTTCATCCCGAAGTTGCGGCTTCGTGCAGTATCTGGAGGCCTTTTTCCACGCTCAGCGGCGGCGAGCAGGACGGAGTGCACCGGAGGGATCGGGACTCTAAACCCTCGTCAAAACTCAAAAGCCTGGGTTGAGGCTGTTTTGGAGTGTCGGTTGGCTATTCAGAAAACATCACAAAGTAGACCATCCAATACATGGGCTTTTCCTGGGGATGGTTTGAGGATTTGGGCAAAGCGGGTGGATCTCTATCTGCAGACTGTTCTCTCTTCAACAACAAATTCCCCCAACTCTGGCGGACTCGTGCTTTGGGACGGTTTGGTACTTTCGGGATTTCTGCACTCGAGCTGGAGTTAGGGTTTGCCGTTGTCGTTCCGGGATGTAGCGATTTCGGGATCAAATGACACCGACGCAGCTGGACGATATGTGGTATCTTGTGTTGGTTACCGTAGTGTTTTATGACAGTATACTGAGCAGGAAGTAGGTTATAAGCTATAAGCATGACGATAAGAATGACAGCAATACATTTTGAATAATGTTAGCAGCCTGTATAAGGTCAGTGCTAATAATGGAATATTTAGTTAATAACTCGTACTGACAATCATAGCTGTAAGAACAAGAATACTAACAGCAATATTAATGAGCGGTATTGGTAACAGCAGCAACAGCAACCATGATATTAAATATGCTAATAACAACAATCATAATGCAGACAACGGCAACTACAGCATCAACAATCCAATAGCCATATCAAACACAATGCAAATAACGGTACTGTGCCTTCCAGTAGTACTGCTCTCCCTTGCTGTGCGAGTATTGTTCATCAACCGTCTTGATGCAGGCGCGCGCGAACATGGCGCGTGTGCTGGACCTCGGATGCCAGGGATCCGGCCGCTTTAAGGCTGGGTTTAGGGTGTAGCGCGGACGGCTGTTCCGGGCGAGACAAGCCTGCTGCAAAAAGGGCTGACACTGGATTTTCTTGGAGGGGGAGATTGTTTCAATCATGGGTCCGCTTGAACTGTGCTGCTAACTGCGCAGAGTCTGCAGTAGTAGGTCACGGGGTTCATGAAACTTTACTGTTAACAAGCTAGCCACCCGCCTGGAAGCCAGCCTCCTACATGCCGATTGCCGACTTCCTGGAAGTAGATCACCCAGAAGTCCAGCCGCCGCAAACCTAATCCTTGCCTAAACAGAATCCTACGTATTGCGCACGTCGAGCTACGATTTCTTATAAGGGCATGTTTACCGGATTCTAAGTAGGACCCAGACCGTGAAGTCCCATGAGCCTGCAAGTAGGAGATGTCCCTAAACCCTAAACCCCAATCTGGTGAGTCCAGACATTACCCTGCAATGCGGGCTCGTCCTTGCTAAGTAGGAGGCAAAAAAATCTGGTGAGTGCTGAAACCCCAATCCGGTGCTGCAGGCTCTGATCCTGGAGGAGTTCACGTGCCTGGGCATGGAAATCTTCTCGATGGCTACTTTAGGGGGTTCCTTACTATACTTATAGTATCGTATACCCCCAAACCCTACTCTAATTATTAAGGCTCCTCTATTAGCCGCAAGAGCCTGGACACGTCGGACAATGAAGGATTTTGATTGCTTTGTAAGATGTGTACAGCACCCCGTTTCTACCGATTTGCTGGTGGTTGTCGTTTCGGCATTCTACGATCGCAGGGTTGTTCGAGGAGTTTGCGTTTTGTTCCAGAACTGCCAGGAACTTACACAGTTGTGTTTACTTGTGTGATTGATAACTTGCTCTATGGTTGTTCAAGGGTGTCTTCGGATGCAAACATTTTATTTTTTCGAAACTACATTACAAGTCGATTTGTCTATATACAGTGTATATATATATATACGCATGTGACGATGTTTTAACCCAAACATGATAAGGCAGAAATTGAGCTCTAAGGGCTTACGTATAAATTTGTACGTATGCCCATGTATATCCCCCATGCTTCAATGCATACTGTATCGTGTTATGTACATCGCGTAGGAGTAAATGTCTGTCCTCTTCGGGTTACTACCAGCCCTAAACGTAATCTAAAGGTTGACCTTTAGTCAAGTTCCCTTACTTGGAGGTTCATGGGTAGTTGTAAGTGAGGCTGCAAGTAAGAGAACTGTAGTAATAACCCATCTTCAGGGACTTATAAATCCACTTGTCACTACCCATGCACCTCCAAGTAGGATACTGGACAAGTAATACGATGTTTGTCCAAGACCAACATAAACATAAACCCTAAACTCAAAACCCTGAACCCTAAACTCAAAGCCCGAAACCCTACGCTCAAAAGCCTAAGCCCTGAACTCAAGGCCCTCAACGCTAAAACACCTAAACTTTGCAGTCAAACTCAAATGCTGAACTCAAAACCCTAGACTCAAGGCCCCACAAACCCTAAACTCAAGGCCCTAAACCTTACTAAGCAACGCCAAACCTATATTTTTTGGGGGGCTCCTTTCTATAATGATACCATCAAGGACCCCAAAACCCAATCCTAGTTATTAAGGCCCCTATACAGAACCCTTAAGTATAGTAACCCTCATAGTTATCCCTTTTAAGGAAACCACTCTAAAGGAACCCTATTCTAATTATTAAGGCCCTAAACCCTAAACCCTAAACCCTAAACCTTATTAAGGCCCCTTTAAGGTCTCTGGTGGACCGGGCCACGGCCCAAGCAATGGCTCGTGGTCTCCAGCAGCTGATCACGCGGAGGCGCTTTTGGGGAAGCGGCTTCGCTTAAGAAACCCTCGAAAGGGTTCCTGTAAGGGTTCTTTTAGGGGTTTCTTCAAGGGATCCTTTAAGGATTCTGTTAAGGGTTCCTGTCAGGGACCTGGATATGAGGGTCTTATTATAAGGGTGCTATAGGGACTGAGTTGAGGGTTCAGGGTGGATTTGGCCTTTCGTGCGAGCTAGCAGTCCGCGAGAAGAGACTCACAATCAGAAAACGGTTGATGAAGCTGCAATCAAACAGTAGCCCGTGCAACCGCATTCTACTCACAGGGGCTCGCGGGGCTTTGGCTTTGCGTATTTTCTTCCACCGCTGGTATTCCTGCGCTCTACTGTAGAAAAGCTGGAGTTGCTGCAGATAGGAAGGGTTTGCCTCTTTCTGGATGTTTGTGTTGTCATTAGGTTTTTTTTCGTTTGGGAGATGTTTGGAGCCTGACTGTCTTGAGGATGGCAGATATAGGGTTTCGTGTTTAGGGTTTGAGATATTCACATTAATCGTTACATCGTCTTCGGCAAGTGTGCGGCGCTGAACATTTCACCCAGATGTTGTCCTTGCCCATCTCCCAAATCAAGTATCACGCCCACCACCATATATTTCGTGCTTGGCCAAGACCTATATAGTTGGTAGTAGTTGATGAAGGGCCCTATTCTAACAGATTAGGCGAATATTGTGCCTAAGCTGTGCCGGAAACCGCGGAAGCCACAGGCTCTGGATGACCTGAGGCTGGTTGACTAACTAGAGTGACAAAACCTTAAAACATGCACTGGCCTCAGCAATCTACGTTTGCTGTCTTAAGCTTATCGCCGATCAGGAAATTGCGTTCTGAGGAGCTTGTAGCAAACTAGACCTGTCCGAAATGTTTGCAACTTGAGGAGCCCCTGGCCGGGACAAGTGAGGACTAATCATCAATGCCGTTTGCCTTGCTGAAGGAAAGCAGCTGCGCAGGCCTGTGAAGGTTTAGGCTATCCTGTTTCTGGAATTTGGGCCTCCCAGCTGCCGAAAGCAGCCTTTTCGGATCCGTGCAGGACATTTCCGAAGATCGTGGTGGCGCCTCGCCGAACATTGGGCCTTCCATGCCTCTTCATCACATGTGTCAGATTGTCGCTTCGTGTGCTCGAAGGTTTGGGGCTCATGACACCCGAAGCATTTAAGAGGCCGTGTCAGCCACTCCTTGCCCTCCACCAAGTAGACGTAGACCTTCGCAAACCTTCAACATCATCCGTGAGGGCCGTGAAGTCCTCCTCCCCGTCCCACTAGCAGTACTAGTAGTAGTAGTA